TTTATAAGCAGTGGATTAACTCTGAGAGTCTCAATGAATTTATGGAGGGTGCATGGGGGAGGGAATGTGAGGGGGCTACTCCATAACTCAATTCCACCCCACCCCCATTCCTCATCATCCCCCCACCATGTCTCCTTGTGGCTTCACTGCTATTTATTGAATGTTTTACTAGCACTGTTTTTGTTTTACATCTTTCAGTTGCTTGGTTTATGTGAATGATAAGTTTTATTTACGCCACACAGTAAATCTGCAAAACTAAAAAAATGTTAATGATGGGTATAAAGTAAGCTTAAAGGGTGCTATCTGGGTATGTGACTGTGTAGAACTGATGTAAACCTGGGTATAAAGTAAACCCACAGTGTACTATCTGGGTATGTGACTGTGTAGAACTGATGTAAACCTGGGTATAAAGTAAACCCACAGTGTACTATCTGGGTATGTGACTGTGTAGAACTGATGTAAACCTGGGTATAAAGTAAGCCTAAAGGGTGCTATCTGGTCATGTGACTGTGTAGTACTGATGTAAACCTGGGTATAAAGTAAACCCACAGTGTACTATCTGGTCATGTGACTGTGTAGTACTGATGTAAACCTGGGTATAAAGTAAGCCTAAAGGGTGCTATCTGGGTATGTGACTGTGTAGAACTGATGTAAACCTGGGTATAAAGTAAACCCACAGTGTACTATCTGGGTATGTGACTGTGTAGAACTGATGTAAACCTGGGTATAAAGTAAACCCACAGTGTACTATCTGGGTATGTGACTGTGTAGAACTGATGTAAACCTGGGTATAAAGTAAACCCACAGTGTACTATCTGGTCATGTGACTGTGTAGAACTGATGTAAACCTGGGTATAAAGTAAACCCACAGTGTACTATCTGGGTATGTGACTGTGTAGAACTGATGTAAACCTGGGTATAAAGTAAACCCACAGTGTACTATCTGGGTATGTGACTGTGTAGAACTGATGTAAACCTGGGTATAAAGTAAGCCCACAGTGTACTATCTGGGTATGTGACTGTGTAGAACTGATGTAAACCTGGGTATAAAGTAAACCCACAGTGTACTATCTGGGTATGTGACTGTGTAGAACTGATGTAAACCTGGGTATAAAGTAAACCCACAGTGTACTATCTGGGTATGTGACTGTGTAGAACTGATGTAAACTTGGGTATAAAGTAAACCCACAGTGTACTATCTGGGTATGTGACTGTGTAGAACTGATGTAAACCTGGGTATAAAGTAAACCCACAGTGTACTATCTGGGTATGTGACTGTGTAGAACTGATGTAAACCTGGGTATAAAGTAAACCCACAGTGTACTATCTGGGTATGTGACTGTGTAGAACTGATGTAAACCTGGGTATAAAGTAAACCCACAGTGTACTATCTGGGTATGTGACTGTGTAGAACTGATGTAAACCTGGGTATAAAGTAAACCCACAGTGTACTATCTGGGTATGTGACTGTGTAGAACTGATGTAAACCTGGGTATAAAGTAAACCCACAGTGTACTATCTGGGTATGTGACTGTGTAGAACTGATGTAAACCTGGGTATAAAGTAAACCCACAGTGTACTATCTGGGTATGTGACTGTGTAGAACTGATGTAAACCTGGGTATAAAGTAAACCCACAGTGTACTATCTGGGTATGTGACTGTGTAGAACTGATGTAAACCTGGGTATAAAGTAAACCCACAGTGTACTATCTGGGTATGTGACTGTGTAGAACTGATGTAAACCTGGGTATAAAGTAAACCCACAGTGTACTATCTGGGTATGTGACTGTGTAGAACTGATGTAAACCTGGGTATAAAGTAAACCCACAGTGTACTATCTGGGTATGTGACTGTGTAGAACTGATGTAAACCTGGATATAAAGTAAGCCTAAAGGGTGCTATCTGGTCATGTGACTGTGTAGAACTGATGTAAACCTGGGTATAAAGTAAACCCACAGTGTACTATCTGGGTATGTGACTGTGTAGAACTGATGTAAACCTGGGTATAAAGTAAGCTTAAAGGGTGCTATCTGGGTATGTGACTGTGTAGAACTGATGTAAACCTGGGTATAAAGTAAACCCACAGTGTACTATCTGGGTATGTGACTGTGTAGAACTGATGTAAACCTGGGTATAAAGTAAACCCACAGTGTACTATCTGGGTATGTGACTGTGTAGAACTGATGTAAACCTGGGTATAAAGTAAACCCACAGTGTACTATCTGGGTATGTGACTGTGTAGAACTGATGTAAACCTGGGTATAAAGTAAACCCACAGTGTACTATCTGGGTATGTGACTGTGTAGAACTGATGTAAACCTGGGTATAAAGTAAACCCACAGTGTACTATCTGGGTATGTGACTGTGTAGAACTGATGTAAACCTGGGTATAAAGTAAACCCACAGTGTACTATCTGGGTATGTGACTGTGTAGAACTGATGTAAACCTGGGTATAAAGTAAACCCACAGTGTACTATCTGGGTATGTGACTGTGTAGAACTGATGTAAACCTGGGTATAAAGTAAACCCACAGTGTACTATCTGGGTATGTGACTGTGTAGAACTGATGTAAACCTGGGTATAAAGTAAACCCACAGTGTACTATCTGGGTATGTGACTGTGTAGAACTGATGTAAACCTGGATATAAAGTAAGCCTAAAGGGTGCTATCTGGTCATGTGACTGTGTAGAACTGATGTAAACCTGGGTATAAAGTAAACCCACAGTGTACTATCTGGGTATGTGACTGTGTAGAACTGATGTAAACCTGGGTATAAAGTAAACCCACAGTGTACTATCTGGGTATGTGACTGTGTAGAACTGATGTAAACCTGGGTATAAAGTAAACCCACAGTGTACTATCTGGGTATGTGACTGTGTAGAACTGATGTAAACCTGGGTATAAAGTAAACCCACAGTGTACTATCTGGGTATGTGACTGTGTAGAACTGATGTAAACCTGGGTATAAAGTAAACCCACAGTGTACTATCTGGGTATGTGACTGTGTAGAACTGATGTAAACCTGGATATAAAGTAAGCCTAAAGGGTGCTATCTGGTCATGTGACTGTGTAGAACTGATGTAAACCTGGGTATAAAGTAAACCCACAGTGTACTATCTGGGTATGTGACTGTGTAGAACTGATGTAAACCTGGGTATAAAGTAAACCCACAGTGTACTATCTGGGTATGTGACTGTGTAGAACTGATGTAAACCTGGGTATAAAGTAAACCCACAGTGTACTATCTGGGTATGTGACTGTGTAGAACTGATGTAAACCTGGGTATAAAGTAAACCCACAGTGTACTATCTGGGTATGTGACTGTGTAGAACTGATGTAAACCTGGATATAAAGTAAGCCTAAAGGGTGCTATCTGGTCATGTGACTGTGTAGAACTGATGTAAACCTGGGTATAAAGTAAACCCACAGTGTACTATCTGGGTATGTGACTGTGTAGAACTGATGTAAACCTGGATATAAAGTAAGCCTAAAGGGTGCTATCTGGTCATGTGACTGTGTAGAACTGATGTAAACCTGGGTATAAAGTAAACCCACAGTGTACTATCTGGGTATGTGACTGTGTAGAACTGATGTAAACCTGGGTATAAAGTAAACCCACAGTGTACTATCTGGGTATGTGACTGTGTAGAACTGATGTAAACCTGGGTATAAAGTAAACCCACAGTGTACTATCTGGGTATGTGACTGTGTAGAACTGATGTAAACCTGGATATAAAGTAAGCCTAAAGGGTGCTATCTGGTCATGTGACTGTGTAGAACTGATATAAACCTGGGTCAACATGACATATGTGTTTGCATGCAGGCTGTATAGACCTGTATGAGATGATCCTGTCTTACTGTTTGCCACATGGTAAACTTAAAGACACTACATCTGTTACTATAGCAGACCAGAGGATTAACCCTAACTTTAAAGACACTTTCTTCTGCATTAGACCTACCAAGTCACTTCGTGTTATTTTAGCTACCAAATCTGTCACTATAGCAGACCAGAGGTTAAACTCTACACTTAAAGACACTTTCTTCTGCATTAGACCTACCAACAGACCTGATAATTGACACCACACTTAAAGATGATATCTTAGATACTGTGTATTCCACCAATTTATATCATAATGTATTTATTAACTTCACCTGTTAATGAAGTCATCTCAGTTTACTTGTAAATGAAAAACATGTTTAAGTATATTTCTTAATTTGTTTTGTAATAATGTGAGATTGTATTTGTACATACACAACATTGGTCAGCTGATTAAATTCTATTCATGGTGCCAAAATCCCTATTTTTGTTTGCATACCTCCTTAGCTCCACTTTGTGCTTTTGTCTTGTTTTTTTTTTCTATATAGCTTTAGCAAGATCTGAATGCTAATAGATTTATGTTAAAACATATGGTTGCTAAATCATTGCTTTGTTTTCAAGGCTGTAATATATATTAAGCCTAGGATGTTGTTTAATCATACTAGGAGTAAAAAAACTATAATTTGATTGATTTAATTCAGTCTTAACACATATTTCAAGATAAATTTATCGAGCTAGTGTTTACCAAATGCATTATACTTGTTTTCAAGTCAATGTTTTTACTACAGTTTAAGTGAGTTTCAGTTGGATATAATGAAACAAAACATAACGAATCCCATGTTCAAATTTAGAAATAAATGTCTGAGCCATTGTGAGCTTTTGCTTGATTGGTTGACGCTTTTTGTATTTTTCACAGGCAAATATTTTTCTTGCCTTTACACTACTCTTCTTTTTTTTTTCTAGTTTTGTTCAGAAATAAAAAATGTTTCAGTAAATAAAGCAATGTATCTCTTTTAAAACTACAGGTTACCTTGATTCCATTTGGTTTAAATTTTAGATGTGTTCAAAGTCTCATTTGGTGGCTCTGTTCCAAGATATGTAAAGTGTTAAATGCATCATAAATCTCTCTTAAATTAACACTGTTTAACTCCATAACTCAACTGCATTTGTTTAACTTTCAGGTTTATTCAGAGGCTCTGTGATTGGCCCGGCTCGAGATATTGCCCACCAGCTAGGTGGAAATAATGTCACCACCTTGTGGAAGAAAAGGAAATCCACGTTGTCCACCTTTGCTCCGGTAATGGAGGAAGACAAGGATCTGGATCCAGAAAAGGTAAGTCAATATGACAAGTTTACTTAACACTCAGTTGTGATCTTTGTCAAGCGTGTGCTGAGTTTTGTAAGTCACACACACAATTAGGTTAAGTGGACAACTTGGTTACACGGTAATTAAAGGAGATATCCTGGTATTTGTTTGATTTATAAAGTGTGTAAACTCAGAATTAAATTAAAATAAAGTTTTCCAAAATTTATGTTTAGTACTCCAGGGTTTGACTATACCGTAGTTACTTTTTCCTTTACCTATGATTTTTACCCATACATAACAAGGGTTTTTGCCTTTAGGTTGGCAAATAATTTTTTTCTCTCACACAAAATTAGTCTACCACCTCACTTGGCATTACTTCATAGCAATAAACACTTCCTTTGTGACAGTTATTTAACTTTGTTATCTATAAAAGTGTATGACATAGTTTTCATGAATTTTAACGGTTACTTTCTTAGATTGCTATTTAAGTGTATGATATGATTTCCAAAAATTTTAACAGATTCTCTCCGAGATTTTTATAAAAGTGTATGACATAGTTCCCATATATTTTAACAGATTCTGTCTGAGATTGACAACATTGGAGCTGGCAAGGAGAGTGACAAAAAAAAGTCTGATGATGATGTTTTTGAGGATGATTGGGCCAAGGTAAGGAGGAGTTTTCAACTTAAGTTTTTTCTTCCCTTTTTCTTAAATTGAACAAACTGTTCAAAAAATGTGATAAAAACTCTAAAAGTAACTTTCACTGTATGTAACGGGTGTAATCCAACCATTTGTATTTTAAAGGTCTCCCCTCGGTACGTTACCTGGTGTAGTATATTGGCCTTTTAATATGCTTCATCCACATGTTTACTATCAGTACAAAAAAATAAAATGCATTTTCTTTGGACAAAAATTATAGGCCATTAAAAATCAGTATCCGTATAAGTACATTTCAGGAAGAAAACCCATTGACAAACAAAGTTATAGTAGAAAAAAAATATAACTAGGCAATTACTGAAACCTTTAACTGTTAACATTTGACTGCTAAATTATGTGGTAAATCAAGGAAGATAATTCTTATACTTGCTTTTTATACACCTAACTGTTCTACTACCTTTTGGGTTATTGATGGGCAGTAGTTGAAGTATATCTATACACAACTTCTTTAACTTGCTTACTTCCAGTTGTAGGATGTAAGTTGTCAACCAAATGTGATTAGATGAACATTAAGAAAATTCAATATTCAAATAGTAAAATTAAAGGATTTGGATGTATTGTCACAGCCTGCACTTTGATCCCAGAAATAGCATAACAAATTATTCTTTCAAGCACAATCAAAGCAAATAAGCATGGCATTAACAATTTACTGTAATAAAAAATGTCTAGTCTTGGCAAAATAGACCCATTTCTATTGCAGTTCAGTAGCATTTAAAGTTTGGGTGCTCTTCCCATTCACAATGATTTTAATGGGCAAATTCCAAGTCAAATGACCAATACTACCATTCATTATATGTTGATTTTATTTTAGATATTAAAATGCAGGTGATCACATCTAATACAAAGAACATCACTTATCAGCCATATGTAAGGCATTCCTTGAAAAATATGAAGGAAAATCCATCAAATGAAATACAGGCATTATTGCAAAATGTGCTCATTGTAGCACCTACCATATACAAACAACTTAACAAGGTAGAAATATGAACTTTAGGGGTTGTACATAGATTGGTTATGCAGCTGCCACCCTATGTGATTTTCACCCCACAACTCCCAAAAAGTCACATTTTACCAGATCCCTGATCCACTAAATATCTAATGGCACAAATTTCAAACTCTCCTCCTGCCAAAATTTAATATGATTTTTAATCTTTTTATTTATTTTAAGACATTATAAAAAGGTTGCCATGTCACACTTCTCAAGCTCCCCCAAATACCAAAATAGATCTATTCAGCAATGGTTATCTATTCTTTTTATCAGTCTTCTCTAAAGTTTCATTTTTTTTCTCTATAAAAATGTGTATGGGTGGATTTTACCCATGCCAGGCCCCTAGGGTAATAAATCATGACATACAGTGAAGGTTAAAAAATAAAATTTTGAAGAAGTGTATTATTTTTATCTTGTGTCTAAATAAAAAATTCCCATTTCGTTTACACTTTCATCGACGGTATCATCCACTGTCATTTTCTAGTGTTGTCACTCATGCCTTCTTATCTACTGCACAATTATCCTTTCATCTTGCCATTTCATGTTTTTTATTTGCTCCATAATAATGTCACCCCACCACCTCTCCCTGCTTTCATCCATCCGCCCATGTTCTAGATAGCAGAAATAATCTCAAGTTATGGTGGTAGAATCAGTTCCTCTGGGGATTATGCTCTCTTTGAAGCACAAATAGAGCACCTATTATCTTCTAAAGGTATACATTTCATAATACCAATGGGATTTGTTCATTTTGCAATGCGTTTGTTATAGTATTGCATCTTGGTATTTTAAAACCAAAACTAAAACTTTTCTGACTAAATTCTGTTACTTTTTGCATGCTGACACAAGATAACCGTACATTTACCACAAACTAAAATCTTTGTAAGACTATTCTAAACTACAGTTACATAACACTTTCCTCCTCAACTACATGAGGCCTGTTGTGCATGCGTGGAAATGGTGAATCAGGACAATAAGTTCACAAATTCTCCTGTAACTATGTAGATTTTTGTTCTTTTCAAAATAGTTTTTATTTTATAGATTGAATGATTTTTTTTCACATAATAGTTTCAGTTTTTTAATAAATGTTAAAAAAAAAACAGCATGAAAAAGTTTCCTTCAAACTTTCTATACTCATTTGGCCAAAATTCAGTAAAAGGTTATTAAATTGACAATAAAATGGTGTTAAAAGGGTACAACATCCATATATTTTAACATAGTTTCCAATATAATACTGTTGTGATTCGGCTCTAGGATGAAACTGAGTGTAAGTAATTAAAACTGGTTTGAATTTAGAAGAAACAGTGCAACAATGTCAACTGTGGATCACTTTGTTTAGTAATGATGGGATGAACACATGTAAAGGGACATAATAAATACTTCTCAAAAACTCAGTTGGGATGAACACATGTAAAGGGACACAATAAATACTTCTCAAAAACTATTTGCTAAGCGAAATACACTCTTTGATAAATCATCTTATTTTAGTACTGTCAATTAATTTTTTTTTTGTGTACAAGAATAAGGTACTAATATATTGATATAAATGCATTTATGTCAATCATAAATATTTATCTACATTTAAGATATTCAATGCATAGAATTACTTATCAAAATAACAATTCCTGCTGTGCTGCCCTAGCTTTTTTCCAACTCCTTCTCTTCTGTAAGAGATGTATACATTGGTAAAATTATCAACTGCCATCTTATAAATCTAAAAACATGTAGATTCAGGCAAGTTTAAGGTTTGAATGATTTCAACTACAAATATAAATGATTCAAGGCTGCTACTCACCTAGTTGTTTTTGTTACTAGTCACAACAGTTTGATAGTCATTGTTTAATACTCTACTAAATAGACTGTTTAATTGCATTTGTTGAGGTATTTCATGGCACCCGTTCTAGAAATATCACGTATATTATAAGCTGTGATAGTTTGTGCTTTCTAAGTGCAAGAATCCAGTATTTGATTTCTGGGGAATGATATTTTAACCCAAGGGGAATGAGATTTTAACCCATCTTTAATTAATTTTTTTACAATCATTTTGAGTGTTAATGCCTAGACCTAGATAACAGGGATGAGGACCTTACATGTTAATGCAGTTTGTAAAACATTGTGTACAATCAATTAAAATAACTGTAGACCTCACCTGCTGCAGTGGGCGGGTGGAGAGTAAATACCTTATAGATCCTTTAATCGCCACAGCAAATGTATGTACATTTGAAGGCATACCCAGTTAAACCAGGGATTCAGTTGTATGATCAGCAGATACAAAAACTTTAACCAGAACAGACATAGATCTCTTTGTCCGTGATTTTATAATTGTTTTTTTTTATTCTCTAAGACCCATTGATTAAGTTAGAAAAAACTGATTCATTGTATTGTGATTGACATCTAATTTCAGTTAAGGAAGGCTGGAGCATTATTTTCTAATGCTATCACAGACGCAGCCTACATTTTTCATTTGTAATCAGAGAAACATCTTCACAATAATAGCCTCCCCCTGTGTTTAAGCCCCTGGTTCATTTCCTGGAAACAGATTTCCAGTAGATAAATTCTTTGGTTTTTAACGTATTCATGCGCCTGTCATTTCATAACCCCTGCATAATGTACATACAGTTTGAAAACAATAAGTAAAGCAATCACGTATTCATGGAAGTTTCCGAGGGACTGCATGAACATAACTCACTCTATCATCCTTGACTTTTGCATGGCCTGTGGATTTGTTAGCATTATATTATTGCATGTTCTCCCTATTAGATCAATGCAACCTTTGCGGAATTCGGTGTAAGCCTCGGAAGAGAGTCTGTTTTCATACGTGAGCATGAAGCAAATTTCAACAAGTTTCTTTCATCGGGTAAAAAAGGTATTAGTATATGTTGTCCATTTGTCTGTTTTATAATGGTGTCAAGGCTGTGTGACTTAACATGGACTAATTTTTGCTTGTATAATTTGATTTCATTTGTAGCATTTATAAACTGTTTGAGTATTAATTTCTGTACTTATTTAATACATGTTTTCTATATATTGTATACTTGATAATAATTTAAATTTGACTCTTATCATTATAAGAAATGTATGTTAAGGTCTGTGACATGGTGTATGTGTCTTTTGTATGGAGTAGAACAGTGAAATCATTTACATTTATAAGATGTTGGGAAGGGGGGTACTTATTATTATTAATCCTCTTCACACCTTGAAGCACATTGCTGTGGGGTGTACTGTGTGCACACTATATGGAGGAGACTGAAGTCACTAACCTTCAAATAAATGAAGTTCGTTTAGTATTTATCATTCAACTGCTCTTGTCAAGCACTCACATATTACTTACATCATAAGTATTGCCTAGGAATACTATATGTTTAAATACTTAAATACAAAGTACTAAGTATTGTTTTATTTTCTCTTTACAGCAATTTTATTTTTAGTAGAATTTTTATTAGGATGTATAGTGTAGATATTAAAAAAATGTTTATCTCCAGTAAGATTATTTGTTAAAGGAAAAATAAAGTATAGGTTACATTTTGTTTATCTGTTTTATAACTTCAATTTGAACTGAAAATATATAAATTACAGTAACTTTTAATTAATCTGTTTCAACTGTCTTTTCTATAATTTGTTGATGTACATCATACATACTTTAAATGATCCAAAACCTGTTTACTTTTTGTAAATAATTGTGTTTCCTTGTCAAATAAATGGGTTTTTTGGCCACCTTTTATTGTTAAAACTGTACACAAGATTAGTAAAATAAAACAAAAAAGAAGCCTAATTACACCACGGCTACAAGCCAATTGAAAAAGTTTCTTCCATTTGTCTAGGTGAGAATAAGATCCAAAGTGTGGGAGAGTGGCTGTCTGATGTAGGACTCCCACAGTATGAGAATACCTTGGTGGCTAATGGATTTGATGACACTGATTTCCTGGTGAGTGACTCACTGACATACTGATTACAATTGGAACTATACTACTAGGATGTCTTCTTGTATACATTTATATAAACATGGTTGAATAGTTGTCTTTAACTTACCCCTACAAGAGCTCTTCCTTTTGGAAATTAAGGCAATCTATCAGATGTGTTTTCACACTTCAAGCACATTCCAAACTTCCTTGACACTGATTATCTTATTTTATTCTAGAATTAAACTGTAAAATGCTGGTGTAATGTCAAAATGTTTATCATAATTTCCTTAAGTTTTGAAACTACAATCGTTATCTTTGCTTTAGTGTAATGTCAAAATGTTCATCTTAATTTCAAACTCCTTAAATGTTAAAACTACAATAATTAATTTTGCTTTCATATTTATAAATACTTTGTTTTTGCTAATGTCTACAAAGTAATCTCATGTCTAGCTCATTTATTCTGTTTGACTGTAAATTCTAGGGTGGGGGCATCCTTGAGGACCAGGATCTAATAATTATTGGAATAGGTGATGGATCACATCGCAAGGCTATCCTAGAAGCTGCAGCCAAGCTGTCTAAGCTTCACCCTATTGGTAATTTCAATTTATTTTCTAATCTTATTTCATTTTAATTAGGCCTATAGTTTAGAAAAACAATTTTCCAAATACTGTTGTGAATATACTTAGCTACTTTATAATAGGTATCAGGTTTAAAGAGTTTAAGCTGTTTGCCTATATTTATGATTCTTTATTTTATCTTTATAATATGCTAGTAGAATTTATTATTAAACTAAATAAATCTCAATTATGTCAAAGGTTATTAGTATGGAATTTATCTCCGATTTATATCAGCATATTTTAATTGTTTTGCTTCAACTAAATATAAAGTTAGCTATCAGGATAAGGTAATTCATCTTTTAAGATTTATCAAGTGAATTAATGGTTATTTCCCTTACACCAGATCCTTCAAATCTCCCCCATACTGTGGCAGAATGGCTTGGATCACTTAGATTAGATTATTACTTTGATACATTCATGTCTCACAAATATGATTCCATGGACAGAGTTATTAAAATTTGGGAGCTGGAACTTGTTACAGTAAGCAGCCGTTAAAAACAATTATTACTTTATTCAGCAACTGGTGCTTGTTATATTTGCCTTATTTAGAGCTTTCAAAAATAATTTCTACTATAGAGATAGTTTAATTCTGTGATCAACTAATTATCCTTATAGAGAGTTCATATGGTTTTGAAGATATATGCTAATCTTTGTTGTTTAATAATGTTTCAGGTTTTAGATATAACATCAATAGGTCACAGAAAAAGAATCCTTGCCTCATTAGGAGAGAGGAGGGTGGATACATCCACTAGCCCAGTAAGTTTTATTTAGTGACTTTTAACATATCTGGATATTTTGTTATTTAAGAGCTGTCATACATTTATAGAAGTTTAAAAAAATTTAAAACTAGAGTTTCACAAACATTAATACTGCATTTACTTTAGCAGTTGAGAAAGTATTCCGTTATCATGAAAAGCCTGTAACCTGCCATATTATATATGTGCTGGAACTAGTATCTAAGACATAAATTGGAAAATCTAACTATAGTATTTGTTTTAATTTACACTGTAAAATTTAAATTGTTTCAAATTGTCAGTGCCATCTCTATTTCCATTCCCTATGTACCTTTATAATTTGACAAAAAAGTAAACCATCTTTTGATAGGCTAGAACAAGACTACCAAGCTTAGAAAGTCTGGGTGGTCCTAAGTCTCCATTTGACCACGTAGACTTGTACAGAGATTACACAGGAGTCCGCTCTAAAGTTTCTGACGCTGGAAGTGATTCTGACCTGGTCCAAGGAAACCTTATTGATTTTGATAATTCTAATCCAAGTTCACCTGCTCAGGTAAGCATTGATACATTACAGATGTTGTCTTTCAGATATAAAATTAATCTAAACTTAAAGGCTTTGATATAAAGTTCCCCTTTAGGACCTGTCAATCCATAGGGCAGAATAAGTAGAGTTCATCTGTTTCTTGACTACAGCATTAAGGGATGGTGCGGTGAGAACTATGCCAAGCTACCTTTACCTAACTTGAGACAAGTACCAGTCAGAGCTAGGTGGACTCAGAAATCGTGTTTAATTAAATTACTCATAATAGACTTGTAAAATCTGATTATGTAGCAGGCTCCATCTTCCTGGCATTTGATATCTGATTATATTCATTTCTCATGTAACTTTGTAACTGACCAATATCCACTTTCAGGGACGTAGCATAAGGGACGATACAATTTGTAAAATATAATTGACTGACCAATATCCACTTCCAGGGACGTAGCATAAGGGACGATACAATTTGTAAAATATAATTGACTGTCCAATATCCACTTCCAGGGACGTAGCATAAGGGACGATACAATTTGTAAAATATAATTGACTGTCCAATATCCACTTCCAGGGACGTAGCATAAGGGACGATACAATTTGTAAAATATAATTGACTGTCCAATATCCACTTCCAGGGACGTAGCATAAGGGACGATACAATCCACATCCGTGCCCCACACCTGATGCACTACACTGGTGCCATTAAACAGTGGAGACACAAGCCTGAAATCCTAATCAAAGGCTGCTGTAACTATACTGCTCATGTAAGTGTGGCTTTAGACATTTTTATTACCCTGTCTCAACATGGAAGAGGTGAAAAATCTTCGTTAAAAAATAATTCTAATGTTGAACTTGTTCTTTAAGAAGTCTAGAATTGTTTGACTGTGTAACATCAGATATGTTTCCTTTTCCACAGTATTTAGGCTCTACACTAGTTAAAGAATTAAATGGCCCTATGTCAACTCAAGAGGGAATAACAAAACTTAAGGTAAGGGTAAAAGACATTTATCTTTCTTCTTCAACAACACATCCATTCTATATCACAATATCAGGGTACATAACTCATATAAAATAGACAGTCACTAAATTACTTCCCTTTAACTTTTTTTTTTTAATTTGATTACATTTTTTAGTAATTTTTTTCTAATTAAACTTTCTCTCAAATTTCTAATTTTGACTTGTCTTTTTCTAAACATTGAAGCATCGTTTACGCAGGAAACTGCAGGTTGGACATCTTGTTTAGTGTTTGCCACCTTTTCTGTTGTAAAAAAAAAAAACAAAAAACTTTTAGCCTGCTTTATTTTAAACATTCTGTTTCAAATTGTTCACATTAGTGTTTTCTACTTCTTTAAGAGAGCTTTCTATTGCTGATTTGAATCAGTTTTCTTTACCTTTTGCTCTTATGTGCTCTGCATGCATTTACTAATTGTTAAATTTTAATTAAGTATGTATTAAAAAAAGAAAGGAATTAAGGCATGAGTTACCACTAATCAAAGAGTAGTTTCTTTGTGCCTAGATATAAAATGTTCATAAACAAGTTTTAAAATATATATTAACTATAAAAACTTATATTATACAGTATGCATCAAATTTGGGTTGAATGATAGTTATTTCTATAAATGTAGTGATATTTACTTATCTGGGTTTTTAATGGCGGAATTTTTTTAATTTATGAATTGAAGTTGAAGTCAAAAAGAAAAATTATTAAGGGAAATTAATTAGGAAAATAATTAGTTGTAATTTATTATAATAAAATAAAAAAAAGATAATATTTATGGTGAAATAAAATTATTATAAGAAAATGAAATTCAGAATAAGATGAAAATTCATATATGCGATGTAAATGTCAATAAGATAAACATTAGCTTGCATGCAGCTTCAGGTGTTGTGTTAGTTTGTACTTGTCTATTTTTATACCAATAATAAAAGCCTCAACACTAAGAGTGTGTTTCACAGAACTGAGTACCTAATGTCATTCATAGCGAGTCAGTCATGCAGTGCTCATTTAATATTTACTAGTGTCTGTGTATGAGTGAAAACATAAGATATAGATAATACATAACAAAATGTATGTGTACATTATTTTTTATACAATTAAGACTTACAAGTTTTAAAGATCTTTTTGATTACTGTTATCTTTGTTTCTTTCAATTTAGTACATTAATTAGTTTAAATAATATGAAGTTATTATCTATATTTTGTACAACTATGGAAATGAGAACTTATGAGCTATTGTCTGTTGCTATGTAGTAAGTCATGAATACCGGTATAGCATGATTTTTCTAAAAAAGGGATTACTAAAACAGTCCAACAACTAAACTTATTGACATTAAGTTTTATGTTTTAGAATAAATGTCCTATTTATTTGTGGACATCTGTAGATCTAGCAACTAATGTTTTGGGATGAAGGATTAAACATATTGTCTTCACTGTTACTTGCTTTGTTTTAGTTAAAACATGTTTGAAAATTCATTACTGTACTTTTTAAAATAGTGTATAAAATCTATATTTAAAACAGTTTAATTTCACTTTTCTAGAAAATTGTTTTTACAAAAGTAACAAAAGCAGTCGTTTCTCCATTGAGAGCGCGTCATGAATATTTATAAAAAGAAAACAGGGAGATAACCGAAGGCCGAGTTTAGGAGAAAGAAGGGGGAGAAAATCTAGTAATGGGGGGGGAAAACTGTTATTAAAAATTTAATGTGAAAAATTACTTTTTCCTCATGCCTGAATCCGAAGCCAAATCGTAATGGGTCCTCCCATTCCGAGTCACACTTTCAGGGCTCTGTTTCTCAGTAGCGAGGCGCTGGAGCATGAAAACTTCAAAATTCAATATCCCCTCCAACACCGTAAGGGTGTGACGGTCGCCAAGATATTTTCTTCTCCCCTTCCCCGAACCGAAATGAGAAAATACATCGTAAATAAAGACCAGCTTCATTGCTGTTGACACGCGCGGTGTGCGCCCCGCTCCCCCAGCGCCCACGCGTGATTACACGGGGAGCACACTCCAGCGCCCCGATAAGCTGTTTCCATCTCTTGCTTTATCAATTAGGGACGCCGAGCTGTGATGCAATTCCGACTAGTCATCCAGCTATTCGCAATCTTTTCCTCTCTGCCCAGTCTCCAGCGCTGGCCATCCTATCGATTCTTCGAGCTATTTTATTCTCGTATTTTTTTATTTTTTTAAAGGTGGGGAAGCGAAAAATCGTGTTAGCCACTTAATGTTCGTTTTTAGGGGTTCGGGAATACAAACAGCGAAAACAGAGCTGCAAAGCCCCTTTTCATTTGATGTTTAATGCGAACAGAAATGCACCAACATGGGATCCATCTTTGAGAAGAGAAAAAAAAAATCATCCTTTGACGTTGGGTTTTTGGCAGTTAACTACGCTCAATCCTTTATTTATCTAAACTTTTCTTTTTCATTATATAACTCTAAGCCTAAACAAGTAGCATTGTTTCATTTCTCATTATACTCATTTATGGCTAAACGAGAATCGGGGTGATGGGGGGGGGATGTAATTCCCTATTGATGAGATCAAACGAAATGCAATATCCGCCTATGTATATTAAGAAACTAATATAACCTATCTGTCACCACAGGATTAGCCACATCCTGTGATGTCGATAATTCGGTATTTAGGTTATTAGGCTATAAGCTATCAATATTTCGATGTCGTTTTTTTTTTCGTTAAAAAAAATTTCAGACGTTACATAAGCCAACAATATTTTTCTTGTTTTGTTCTTTGTTTAGAAAATTCCCGATGTTGGAAAAATATCTATATTTCATAATTTTTTGATTACATAATTGAAATATTTAGATTATAATGCGCAAAGTTATCAATATTTCTTTTATATAGTTTTTCCCCTCGGGAATAAGACGCCAAGCTATTAATATATCATTTTTTTTGTTTGTTTTAAATGAAGAATTTTTCTGGATATAAGTCTGTCACTTTTTTTTTTAATTGTTTAAAAAAAAACTCTGTAGTTTTAAAACTCTATAAAGCTATCAATATTTCGTTGTTTGTTGTTGTTAGAAATCTTCTGAGGTTATAAGCAAGATTCCAACCATCATGTTGTCTATATCATTCAAAGGCGTCAAGTTTATCGATGCGGCATCTAAGGTGAGTCGTGTTCAAATCCCACTTGTACTTATAGAAGTAGTGTCAAGATTTGTCAATTGTCGAGGTATACAAAATTGTTGACTGCATACCTAACAACACACATAATAGAATAGAGTATAGGGCTGTATTTGGGGATAACGAAGATGAGTTGTTGATAGCACTTATAAGGGCATGCAGTAATACACATCACAAAGCCGAATATCTACAGCTGATAAATAACTGATACTTCTAGACTTGTCACTTTAAGTTATTACCCTGAAGTCATGTCCGTTGGGGAAATGGGGGTTAACACTTAACTGTTAACAGTATTGTAAGGCACAATCGTTTGTTTTTAGTGAGTTCTTTACCGAAGTGTTCTGTTTAGTACTGTTGCTTACGTGAATGTTGTCATACTTTTCTAAAAAAAATGTGAAAAGCCCGGAGGTGTGGTTATATAGTGTGTGGCAGATAACGGAAGGCTTGCAGTGTTTCCTTCAGGCATCTTTCTAGGGAAGGGGGCCCTTCCCCCCCCCCCCCCCTTAACGAAATAGTATTTATACAGAAAATATATACTTTTAACCGTGTTGTCGTCCCCCTCCCCTTAAAATTCAGTCGTCATCGTCTCTCATCTTCCCCCCCCCCCCCCCCCGAAAGTTTGAAATGCACAGAGACACAGCAGGCTTGTTAAACGTGCATTAATTTGAATTCCAAACAATAAAATTAGTAAAGACAGGATGAATGCTGTTGCCTGACAATACAGGGTTGATGCACAGGTTGATTACAGGTTTTGTAAAGTTGAGAGTAAGTCAGCATTTCGGGGAAACGGGTAGAACAACGTTGATGTGAATGGAGTTTATGATTTTTTCACCTACAAAACCCACGTATTTTAGAGCGGCTAACTTAGAATTTTATTATTAACTGTTTAAGACATACGGGGTTTTAATAGTTTTATTATAATTTGAGGGAAAAAAAGTCGGGGGGAAAAATCGATTGCTGTACAGGTATTAAGAAGTCAAATATTGTCAGACAAAACACAAATGCTGTCAGAAAAAAAAATAACAATGTTGATTGTGTTTTCAGAAAGTGGTTTGTGATCACGAAATAGCCAACATATTTTGTGCTTGTCAAGATGGCGAGCACATGAACTTCTTCGCCTACATAACGAAAGACCGAGAAACAGCCAGGAACTACTGTCACGTATTCAGTGTCAGGAACAGGGTAAGTAGGCCGGTAGTTACACACTCTCATCTAATCCACGTTTGGTCTACATGTCTTTGTACTCTACAACTAGGCACACTTTCTGGAAGTGGTGGAGTGGCATCAGTGTAGGTCTACTCTAAATATACATTTTAAACACACTCTCAACACACTCATTATACACTCTCAATACATATTCTAAATACACCCCAATACACATTATCAATAAACACTTGGGAAACTTTAAATATGCACTCAAAATACACCCTCAATTCACACTTTAAATACATTCTGAACACACAAGCTAAATATATACTCTCAATACACAAACTAAATATACTTTCATTACACAAACTAAATATACACTCTCAATACGCAAACTAGATATACACTGTCAGTACACTAAATTCCCTTATCTTTGCACACTCCATATAAATGCACTCTCAATAAGCAAACTAAATATACACTCTCAGTACACACTCTAACACACACACTATCAATACACTAAATTCCCTTCTCCTAGCACACTCCATACACAGCAATTACCCTGTAAAACCCTCTCGTACCTGTTGTCAACCATTCTTGTAGGTGTCCCACTCACAACAAGCCTTAAGCCTTTTTCCTAGTTGTTGTTAATTAAGACACCGCTATAGAACAGCACAGCAGGGGTTTTCAAATACTTGATTATCTGAGTTGCCCGTGTGATCTGTTTGAAGTTGGGGAACATTTAGCATGACTGTACGGAGCTTAGATGCTGTTTCTGTGGTGTAAAGGTTGTCTTAGGTTCAGTGGCGATTGTCATATGTGTATGTCCTTGTTTCCCCTCTTGTCAGTTATACACATAGCGTAGCCCCCCTTCCCTTTTACTACCTAGCTTTAAAATATACTTTCATTTGCATTAATTACACTTAACTGGCGTGCCGGCTTTCAATATTCCTAATTTGAGAAACATACTTAGTTGCTTTTTTTTATGTCAGTGTTTTTATATAGACTTTTGTACCTTCTCGTGTTTGCATTGAAATAACATTAAGCCCGAGAAAACATGGAAAAATGGCACCTTGGGATAGGTTCTTATGGTTCTGTCTCTTTTACTATGATCGATTTTTTTAAACAGTTAAAGATTGAAGAACAAACCTAATCATATTAAAAGAACAAAATATATAAGTAGTGTTGGTGATTCTGTCTTATGGTAGATTTATTGTGGTTTGTTGTTTGGTTTGAGCTTTATTTTTCTTGGGAACCTGATGTCTGCTTATTTCTAGATAAGGTATTCTTTTTCTAAATGTGGGTATTTTCATAGACATTGTAATTTTCCTTTTAAAACGTGTTTCTAGCTTGTTTAAATATTTCCGCCTAGCTGTTCAATGCGCACCGCTATTTGTATCGGATAACTTAACACCGCTATTTGTACCGGACAACTTAACACCGCTATTTGTACCGGACAACTTAACACCGCTATTTGTACCGGACAACTTAATACCGCTACTTGTATCAGATAACTTAACACCATAGAGGGGTAACAGCATTGCGAATTATCTTTTTATAGATGGTGCTCATCTCATGTTGCTGTTCGTATTTTAAATCCTGATGGATCGACCCCAACCGTTTCGTTATTTTCTCTCAAGCATCAACCTTCGTGAAACAGCCCCGAGCGAACGCTTACTGTCGCTGAATCTGATGGCTGTACGTCGCGTTGCGCTGTTGAACACAACCCGTTCGTGAACGGGGCAATAAAGAGCTCGTTCTTCTACTGTAGTGCCTGATGACTGTAAGTAAACGCGATGTGGGTGTAGGCCGGCAACATCATCCCGTGCGGCTTAAAAAGCTTTGCGTGCATTGTAGTTCTTTAATTGATCAAACTTAAGTACAGCCCCTGACGCCAGCCTGACAACCTGCCCCAATGGCACTTGAGGTTGACGCGGATGTCTAGGAAAACATGTGCGACTGTATGGGGGCCGGTTTGACTGGGGGAGAAACGGGCTCACCATAAGGAAAAGAAAAGACGAGGGGGGAAAAAAATTTGATCGGTGTACGGGACGAACATTACATCACATGGCGCATGACGAGGTTTTGTGATCTCCCTTGTTACAAGGGAGGGGGTAGGTTTCAAAAAATGTGTCATTAAAACTAGTAGATGACAAGTTAATTATACGTCGGCGGGGCTCGGCTGTCACGGTGGCTGGGGCGCCGGGGCGCTGGTCTTTGAGATTTTAGACTGAACAAAAATCCGCGCTCGTGTTTCATAGGGAAGATACCGGTATAGAATGGGTCGTGTTGTAGCGTTGGAGTATTGCTACTAGACCCCACTATAGCATCCGCAGGTTTAGGGTATATTGTGGGCAGGATATTTAGAAACGAGGACCCTCTTGTAACTGAACTGTTTTTTTTTTTTTAATTTTTTTTTTTACAAACTTCAAGATTTTGAATGTGTAATGGGAATGGTTTATAAATGACGTCATATACATGGTGAAGTGTGTGTGGGGGGGGGGGGTGGGGTGGTGGAGGAGATTTACCTTTTTGGCTATGTGTTATGAGATGAGGGAGGCTGTTTTAAAAATGTGTTGGGGCATATATGTTGTGTTTGTTAAGGACAACATGTGTGTTTACATGGAAATCTTCGTTACAGTTTTAAGCTGGTCGTCATTTTATTTCCTGAAAGAGAGCAGAAACCCATCTATTGTTTACAGCGATAAACGAGCCTGTATGTGGCTGAGAAATATCCTAGTGCAGTAACAATCCATGGGTACCTCACTATTATCTTTTAATTTCTTCATATCTATTTATGAGAAAATTAGGATAAATCGTGGTGTTTATCATTACCTGAGCGTTGTGTCCAAAGCTGATGTAATTCACTCGCTTTTCTCTTGCTGCTTTCTGGCTCAATGGCTTGTTTATTGTTGCAGCCTGATTCACTAGCTGGTCCCTATCTGCAGCCAGGTACATTAGCTGGTCCCTAGTTGAAGCCATATTCAGTAGCTGGACCATAGCTGCAGCTATAATCACTAGCTGGTCCCTATCTGCAGCCAGGTACACAAGTTGGTCCCTAGCCAGACTGACAAACTAGCCCTATTGTTGACGTATAATTTACAAACCTGCCCAGGAAAAAGACTAGATAAACGTCTGCTTTTGTGCCTGTTCTTGTCAAATATCCTGAGCTATTGTAGAGCCCCTCCCTTCATCTCCACACAGTATCGCCGTGTGCTTCAAACTCAGGTAATCAAGTATTCGCCCGGGGGTGGGGGCATGGGACGATTTCTCCTTCATGGGGGAAAATTCAACATCATTTTAAACAAGTTATACTGTAATTTAAAATTCAGTTTACTTATTGGGTTGTGTTTAATCTTCAATTTTAAATAAATTGTGTTTATTCGCTTGTACGATGTATAACTATTGTGTTGGTGATTATTAATAATGGTGTGGCATGCTGCCTTCTTTGTTCAATATTTCCTGCTATCAGAGTAGAACATTTTTCAAGTGCATGGATGACTTAAGTTGAAGCTGATCCTCAAATTATCGCACCACACCCAAATAGTTCTGTATGAATTGGCTGGGGGCCCCCTCTGTCTTCAAGACTGTGTAAGCCTGTCTTTGACAGGGGACATAACCCAGCTGGTAACGATACAGTAGTCTGTCATCAGGGCCGTGAACTCACGAGGCTCAAATGGAGGGTTCGTATGATACCCTAGACTTTGAGTGAAGCAGAGGCGGGAACTAAGCGGTTGGAGTCTATTTAAATTCAAGACCTAATTATGTATTGTTAAAGCGTTCCGTTTTGGTTGCTGACAGCGGTCGCATTTCATCACGAGTTAGCACTGATATCTTACAGAGTTATCTGTCTTATATAGAACTTTCGATTATACAATTTTTTGCTTTCCATTAGATGGTCGCAAGGTGGTGTTGTTTGGGTTCATATGCTCATTTTGAGTATGCAACATTTTCTATATTTTAACTTGTTGTGGTTGAAGAAGTGACCCGAGTCTAATTGTGTATGTAGATCCACTTCGATCTTACCTACCAGCTCGTTATTTTGCTGTAGCATATAATGTTCGATTATATTTTTATATATTTTAAGCCAGCATATAGTGTATCCTTGATTGATTTTATTTAAAAAAAATAAGAGTGTAGTTGATCAAACCATGATACTGTTTTATATGCCTGGCCGTGTTGATAGTTTACGTCGTAAGGTTTTGTTATACAAACACACAGTACAGTATAGTGTATAGTGACCACTTAGTAACTGTTGTTGAAATATGAGAACGTTGATGGTACGGTCACATCACGTGATCACCAGGACTTGAAAAGGTTTGCTTGCAAGGCACAATACCAGGCGAATGAAAAAGTAGCTGGTAAAAGACACGATAGCGAGACATCAAAGACCAGTGTTGGAATTATTACCCAATGTGTTCTCGTTGTTTATGTGTGTATACATGTATTGCACATGCCACAGAAACAGGTGAACTCTATTTCACTTGATCCATGGACCCGCCAGGGAACTGTACATTTTTTTACATGTCTAATACAATACATGCGTTTCTTTCGAAGGTATACCTTAAAACATGTTCCGTATTATAACGCCCTTTTAATTTTACATCTATTTGGTTTTATGAATTTAAAGGTAATATTTTACACACCCTTTTGATGTGTTTTAGTTATCATGTGTTGAAACTTCAAAGGCTAGCCTTAGTCCAGTAGTTCTTTAACATTTGCCGAATAGTTTTCTCTCAGTAGAAAACAACCGGTATAAGTCCCTTTATGCAGAGCAACTTGGAGGCCACTGGTAAACTGAAATTTGTTTTGTAACAGTCGGACTAAGTGGGGGAAGGCCAAGAAGTTTGAGACGTTGTGGAGGTTTGTGTCGCCCGTACTGGAGAGGGTTGATAGAAACGATTTGTTGTGGGCCGGTGAAATGGAGGAAAGAGACACTGGTGTTGGTGTATAAAGGCGCCCCGCTGCTGAGTGTGTAACCACTACGGTGAAAGGGACACTCCAGAAGTCTCTAGACCCAACTCTTAACCCGGGGTGGAGCGTATTTTCTTCCTTCAAGTTTCCTGCCATTGTGGCTCAAGGAAAGCAGCGCATCCCCGTGTTACAAGTCAAAGGGGGATTACTGTTTTAGATAGCTGTGGTCAAAGGGAGGTTATTCTATTGGTCCTTTAACCTGAAGACAGGATCTCTTCAAGATAAGGGTAAGGGGAGAGAAGTGACCCAAGCCCACTGCTACGGTTTTTTTTTTATCTCCCCGCAGACAAGTTGTCTCCCCCACTTTTGGAATTGAAGGGAACGGGGTGTCAATGAGGAAACGGTCGCGTATTCATAGTGAGAAGATTCTGATTTAATTGGGTGACCTTTGACACGGGTCAGACGCGAACTGTTTGGGCTACAGACTGATCTCCATTGTGGAGGTACCATGTCTTTTCATAGCGTCGATGGATACGGGCAGGAATCTTTTGTAACCCTCATTCGTCCGGGAGGAGGGTGGGGTCGGGGGGGGGGGGGGCATTTCTATACTTTACGAGCGGATCTTAGCAAAATTCAATGATCTAGAGTTGATTTTGATAGCGGTTATGGTTAGTCCCTTCCCCGTCTCCCCTGTTTCCGCTCCGCTCCACATCTGTGCATGTGTCTGTTCATCACCGAGTCCCCCCTCCCCCCTTGTACTAATGCGGGCTTGTATTATAATCGCCGTCATCACACGGCATAAGCCTGTGTTTGTTGACTACCGTAGTAAAAGTCAGCCTTTTTATTTTTTTCATTTCATTCACGATTTTTTTACGCTCACGGAGCAAGGGAGGGTAATCAGACATGCAAGGGGAGAGAATTAATTGCTTTTGACTCATTGGTTAAAGATGTGGAAATTATTGCCCCAGAAAAAAAAAAGTGTTTTGTCTGAGCTAAATTGCCCAGTAGTGGTGATTTAAAATGAAAGATGCTCCTTGAAGTGCCCCTATAGCCGTGCACTGGGACGGCGGCGAGTCTGTTCAAACAGAAGTCATAGATTGTCTCTAGCATCGATTGGCTGGAACTTTTTGAGGTCGCTCGAGGGGGAAAGGGGTTCCCAAACTCTAGTACACTTGTACCCGCAGATGTCCCCGGGTCAAAAAACCAAAAAAAGTACTGCCAATTCAGTGTTAAGTAAATACACTTGCCTTACGAAAGTCAAACCCTCCATCACTATGTTTGATGTCTATTTTAGATATTGGAAACGGCTACTAAAAGAAAGAGTACTACTGGTGAGAAACAAAAATTATTAAAACATTCTGCCCGTAGTGTCACATCCTGTCACGTTTACCGTCTACCCGCTCCTACTCTTGGTAGATCCCAAACCCTCCCGTCCAGTGTTTCTTCCACTCTTTTTTCTCCGGGAGGGCACTTGAAATTTTCGGGGTGAGGGGGGGGGGGGCTAAAATTTCCGGGAGGGGGTTGCGGACACTGTTAAAAGTATATATTTTCTATATAAGTTCCATTTCGTTCGGGGGGAGGGGGCGGTAGAGATGCTTGGAAGAAACACTCCTCCCGTCCACATTAGTTCATTTATTGTTTCATGTGTTTCACGGTGTTTGTATGACAGTAACCGCGGGCTAGGTATTTAGCTGAAAGACTTCTGCACTACCGTTGTTGGTGCAGTGGGTGTTTTATATTTGTGTATTAAATAATTCCTAATTGAGATGAGAACTATCAGGCATTATAGTATTTAACCACTGTGGTTATAGTAAAGATGAGTGAATTCATAATAATATTACAGTAAACATCTCTTTAATTAAACATGATTTAATTCCCTTTTACTCTCGACAGGCCAACAACAAAAAAAAAAAAGAATCTAACATTGGTAGACATTTTTCATGTATTGTCTCTTGATGAATTCGTTCTATTTTCCATTCTTGAATGTTTAAAGGCTAGTTTGTTTTCCCTGTGCCTACTTTCTTATTTTACTTTGGCCTTCCTTTAGCTTGATATACTGCAAGACAGGTGTACGTCCCAATTCTCTGAAATTAAAAAATGAGTTATTGTTACACCTTGTATAATTGTTTTGTTTGTTTTGTATATTTATAATCGATTCAAAAGCAATTTTAAAATTGACAGGGAAGATAATTTTCTAATGTCTATTTTTAGGAACATGGCAGGGGGATAAGTTGTTTCAATATTTTCTTGCAGGAATTGGAAGGGGAGATAATTTGTTTCAATGATTACTTGCAGGAATTGGCAGGGGAGATAATTTGTTTCAATGTTTACTTGCAGGAATTGGCAGGGGAGATAATTTGTTTTAATGTTTACTTGCAGGAATTGGCTGGGGAGATAATTTTGACCTTAGGTGAAGCTTTTGAAATAGCCTACCAGATGGCACTTAAAGACAGAGCTGAGCTAGAGGCTGAGGAGTTTGAGAAACTGAGCACAAGTGATGGTGATGACACAACTTCCATATCTTCTAAGGCATCCATCAACACTGTCTGACATCAGGTAGCCAGATACATTTTTATTGATTGTATTCAAATCTTATTTCAAATATTCAATAAATCAACAGTATTTTAACCAGATACATTTTTATTCATCGTGATAAAATCTTATTTAAAATTTAAAAAAAACCACAGTATTTTTAGCTGGATATATATTTTTTTTATTAATTGTGTTCAAATCTTATTTTAAATTTTAAAAGAACCAACATTTGTAGCCCAATAGATTTTTAAAAAAATGTATTGTGTTCAGATCATCTTTTTTGAAATTGAAGAAATCAATAATATTTTTCTTTTTAATTACCTGATAAATATTTATGCAAATCTCTTCAAAAACACTTAAAGATTTCAAATACATTATCATTTGTAAAATTGAGATAAGTGGCATGAGACTTGCAATTAATAATAGTAATAAATTGTATAGAGGTAGTTTCTAACAAGGCCATTCACTGCTATGGAAGATGATGTCTTTTTTTGGCCCTGAGAAAGCTTTAGAGTAAAAGACATTTGTCTTGAAGAGGATAAGGGCATATGGGGGATGTAATTATTTCCAATTGGTGTTGAGGGTTGGACATTAGCTATCATTTGTCTCCCCTGAAACATGGTATTTCCTGCTAATGAGACAAGCACAGAGAAGCTGCTGATATGGGTGTTAAAGCATTCTGTGCCAATCTATCTGTTTGGTTGTTTTTTTTTTCTCTAGTTCACAAAGAAGTTGGAGGATACTGTTATAGTTACCCAGTGTTAAAGGAGTAATTTGTTTATTTCTAGTGCCTTATTTTTTTACCATTTAGTCCTCATTATTTCTTAACAATAAAATTTAACCTTTGTTTATTTTTTTTTGCCTAAACAAAAATGGAAATTGAAATTTGAAATCATATTTTGTCAAAAAGTTATTTCATATTTGTAAATCGTGACCAATGAAAATTGGCATAAACCTTAACCAAAACTAAAATATAAATATGAACAGTTTACTTCCTTCTGCATTATAAAAAAAATTATGTATACACAAATAATATTATTTTAAAAATTAACAGTTTATCATTTGCTTAGAACTATACTAAAATTGAAATAAAAATGTTAAAAATTTTCTTTAAATGACAATTAGAATTCACCTCTAAATAATATTATAATTTAAAATTTTAGACTAAATAAGATTATAATTTTAAATTTTAAAATTAAACTTATAATTAGTTTCTGTAAACTAAACTCAAATATAGAATGAAATGTTAAATTTTAAAATTAAACTAAATAATATTATAATTTTAAAATTAAACTTATAATTGGTTTCTATAAACTAAACTCAAATACATAATGACATGTTAAATTTTTTAATTAAACTACAAATAGTTTTCTGCAAACTAAACTAAAATACAGAATGAGAATTAGAATTACAATACTAAATAAGATTTGAATGTTAAATTTTTAAATGAAAGATAATTTCCTGTAAACTAAACTAAAATACAAAATATTGGCAGTTTTCTTTCAATTACAGTCAGTATTCCAAATAAAACTGTCCTCCCTGAATCCCCTAAAAAAACATTGTATTGAGACAGTGCCACCAGATGGATCTTGGTGCTAATGATGCTGTCTTCACTTGACGGAGGTCTGAAATTTAGAGTTCCTCCATATTGTTCTCTATTGCTGGCATCAGGGGCACTTGAAACACAGGGCTCCCATAGGTCATAAATCATGTTCAGTGATTGAGCCTGGATGATCCCTGGAATATTGGGCCTATCATTTCACACCTCCCCACCCCCCTCCACACACCCTAACTGAAGCTTAGGAGTTTGTCACACACAATGAAGTGTTTGGTGAGGGGTGTGTGTGTGCGGGGAGAGGAAGGGTTCAAGAGATGAGGGAAGAAAAGAAAGCCATTGACACTAACATAAATCAGTGGTGGTCATGAATGGGAGGAGAGGAGCTCAAAGCAATGGGCTGTTGATTGGGGGGGGGGGGGTGTTTGCTTTGATGGCTGGGATTGTGCAGTTAATTTTTTTTTAATAACAATCCCTTGTCTTTAAAATATTTTTTTTAGAAAAAAAAAAGTTATTCTTTGGTTACATAAAGGCAACTTCCAGGAATTGAATGAGGATAAAGTTTTAAGAAGAGAGAATTTAAAGAGTACTAAGGTTTGTCAGTTAGATCATAAATAAAGGAAAGGATCAATAAATTTTAGTCAATTAGTTCTGAAGAACAGTCAGTCCACACAGTTGACTTTGACCGGAGTTATGGTTCTTGTTGTGAGTGTTTAATAGTGGAGGCCATAAATCTCTCTAGTGTTGGAATTTTTTTTCTCCTAACTGCATTAGTCTTTTAAAATAAGAAATTATTATTTTGACTTAGTAAAAAAAAGTAATTTAACCTTTTATATTTCATTGTAACATTAAATATTACTATTAAGGAAGTTTTACTTATGTATATATCTTTAATTTTTTTAAAGAATTTCTTAATTAAAATAGTCTTGTAATAAAGTTTCTAACTTGATTTAACACATAGCAGGCCTAAAACATTATACATACATCTGTAAAATTTATTGGTTTAATTATTTCCTTAATTTGGTATTAAAATGTGAGGTTGCTTCACATAGAACCAGGAATCAAGAAATTTAGTCAAGCTATAAATTTGTTAGGACCACAATCCCTTCTCATTTGCCCTGCTCCCCATCCAGAAAATTGGAGATTTATGATTTTAATAACTGGAGCCTTATGGTTCCCAGTGTTGTGACACAGGGCCATTTCAGTTTGGTCACTGAGGGAGTAGCTGCTTTGTTGTCTTGTCAGATGTTGAGAGGTGGGAGCACAGCTTGTTTTGACAGCTTCTCACCTCCCTGTCTGTGTATTGATTCAACTGCTCTGTAGATCTCTATACCTCCTTTATATTCATTGTATCTTTTCTTATATGTATGTTCTTATATGTATGTATGTGACAGCTTGACACCTCCCTGTCTGTGTATTGATTCAACTGCTCTGTAGATCTCTATACCTCCTTTATATTTATTGTATCGTTTCTTATATGTATGTTCTTATATGTATGTATGCATGTATGTGACAGCTTGTCACCTCTCTATCTGTAGATCTCTATACCTCCTTTATATTCATTGTATCTTTTCTTATATGTATGTTCTTATATGTATGTATGTGACAGCTTGACACCTCCCTGTCTGTGTATTGATTCATCTCTATACCTCCTTTATATTCACCGTATATATGTATGTATGTGACGTCTGTGTATTGATTCCACTCTACTGCTCTCTAGATCTCTATACCTTCTTTATATTCATCTTATGTTTTCTTGTGTTTCTATTGTTACACTTTCTGACCTGATGGTCCATGGAGTCAGGTGAAAGAAAGAGTTCACCTGTTTCTGTGACCATGACATAGGAAGGTTTAGTGTGGTCAGTACTACACCCAGCTGCTAATCTTTTCCCTAACATAAGCCAGGTACTTATAAAGCTGGATAGATTGATAGACTAGAGCCTGGGGTCCTAACTTGAGACTTAGCACTTGTACTCTCTATCAATCATTCCATCCCTATGTTTATTTTATCTACCTATATATATATATATATATATATATATATATATATATATATATATATATATATATATATATATATACAGAGAGAGATAGAGAGGCCTATACATGTATCTTATTATTTTTATTTCTATTGTATTTCAGTGACTGATCTATCATCTCCAGTATACAATTTGACCCAAGAGAAATGTCAGTCCCACTTATCTGTTAGCATGGGTCTGACAAGTTGGATACCAAAGAAGTCAGTCATATAAGATATTACATCAGTTCAACTAAACACAAAATCTCTAAGTTAAATCTAGCATAGTTTTTTTTTCTCTCTCTCCAACTTATTGTAATATTTTATACAGGCACCACTGGTTTGTACACATGTGTGTGTATTGTTTAATAATAATCAAAATTGTAACTAGCTGATATTCATGTCCAGAATGATTCATACATTGGATCATCCCCTAACGTTTCTTTCAGGTTAACTTTTTTTCCTACTTCTTGAACAAACTTTTCTTGCCATTAGAGTGTACACATAGAACTCTACTTGCTTTTATACAAAATGGATTTTGCTCATTATGTTTTATTGTTATACATTTTTTTTTTTTTTTTTTTTTACAATTTTTCATTGTCAATTTGTATTGATTGAACAATATTTTTCATGACAAATTCACACAAAAAATATTTCTGGCCAGTTATTTTTTTAAATCTTTCCAAATTAATTATTTTGTTGTTATTTTTATTCTATCACTTCTAATGCTGTCTTAACTCAGTATAAAACATTAATTAGTGTTTATAAAATATATTTAAAGAATTGCTTTTATGCAGATTTGAGCTCTTATGAACCATACACATTGAAGTATTTCTCTTGTATAGTTTAATCTCTTTTAAAGAAAATTTAATCAGTTTTATAAATCTAATCATATAAAAAGTGAAAGAATGTCTGCTTTTTTTTTACTTTTCTTCTAAAAAGTATTTTAAACATTTTAAAGTAAATATCTAAAGACATTATTTGCTCTGAAAAATTCTTTATTCATTTATAATGAAGTAACCAATCAATGAAGTCCCAGATTTTAGCCTGTATAAGTAATATTTTATTTATTGATAGATAGTCATTTTTTTTTATCTTATTGTTTAATTTTACTTTACCTATTATTTTCCAGAGTATATTTTCAATATTCAAAATATACAAGCACTATTACTCTCATTTTTTTTTTCTGTAGTTTTAGCAAAGATTATATACAAGTGTTTCCTAGCTTTCATTATTCAAATACATTGGCCAATTTTTATTTTTAATTTTTTGCTTTGTCTTTCACTGGAGTTAAAATTTTTTTTTTAAATTGTATATAAAATATGAAAAGAAATTGTATGTAAACTCATGATAAATGAGAAGGAACTGAGATATATATATATATATATATATATATATATATATATATATATATATATATATATATATATATATATATATATATATATATATATATATATATATACAGGCAGAGCTGTATAGCTGATCTCAGGATTAAAATACAGTTTTAACTACTCCCTGTTATTATCCTAATCAACTATTTAATCAAAATTTCAATTCTAAATATTGTACAAAAAATCAGATGTATTGAAGAATTATTGCTACTTAATCATGCTGGAGAAATTATTTCTCTATCTGGGATGTATTATGTTAGGGCTTAGCTCAGCAGTCTTTGACTCCGCTCTCTTTAGCTCAGCTGTTGAGCTGTCTTTAGCTCAGCTGTTGAGCTGTCTTTAGCTCAGCTGTCTCAGTAGTCTCTAGCTCAGTAGTCTTTAACTCAGCTTTCTCTAGCTAAGCTGTCTTATGCTGGCTATCTGCATGACAGTCTCTAGCTCTGTTCTTTTCAACACTTGAACCATTACCGTTGTGTTTCTCTTAACATTTTGCTCTATTCGTCTCTGATTTATTTTGCCTGTTACAGTAGATTTGAAGTACAAGAAGATGTAAAAAACCCTTTTCACCTGTCCCACTTACCTTCCTATAACCAAACTATACCTGTGGCAATCATATGATCTCCTACTTAACATCCCACCTATCTGAAGAAATCACTTTTATTTATAGATGTATGTATATTTTTTCTTGATATCTTTAAAAAAAAGTTCTTAAAAATTAACTTTATTTTTACTAAATATTTGATTTCATTGGTTTCAATGTAACAAATTATATCATAAAATGTTTTTTCTTATTAGGAGCATTATTTATACTATATTTAAAAAATATTTATATTATTTACCAAACTTACTCTTATAAAGAAAAAAAACTGTACACACTATTGACAGCTGCATTATGTGGCATAAATCACGATAATTACAGTAGTGAAACTAAATAATTTAAATGTAAGATAGTTTAAAGAAACAAATATAGACTATACATTAATTAATACAGATGATTTATTTAAAATTATTTATGTCTAATTATTTTCTTGTGATATGCTTGTAAGAGAAATCTATTAGTAACCATGTGCTTGCTTGTCTTTTATTTTTTCCTCTTCTATGTGGGAGTTTAATAAGGACAGCACTTAGTCAAAGTTTGGTTGAATAAAATAGCTCTTGAGATGGCTTAGTATGCTTTTTTTTGCAACATTACATACGGGCGTAAAATCAACTTAATGATTTTAAAGCTATTTTACTTTTTACTTACAATTTTGACTAACTACACAGGTTTAATGTGTCCTAGTTTACAACTAGTCTATTTAATTTCTGTGTTAATAAATTATTTTATTGAATTCCATGCCTGTTTCCGTAAACATAAAATAATATTTAAATCAGAATAAATATCTTTTTATTAACACCAAAATAAAGTTGCATGTTATGTTAATGGTAATCAGATTTTAAAATTATCTCCACAGTGAATTAAATGCCCTTGTCCTTACGAAACTTCCATTCTGATCTATTTAGTACCTACAAAACCTCTATTCTCTGCTTAGCAAATATTGTTTTAATTAACGAACATATCATTCAGTTAGTTAACCAGCCTACAATATCAGGTTGTAACCCTCTTCATTATTTTATTGCCATATTATATGCGCGGACAGACTGGCCATACCAGGAAACTGTTGATGTAGCCTTTATTCTTATATACACATTACTCTTTTATTACTATATAACAGAGTTTATTTCCACAGAATTCAATACCTGGCCATTAATTTCGTCATTATTTTCTTTGAATTTTTTTTTTTTTACTTGAGAAGAAATTATTTTGATTCAGTGGAGTGTAAATGATATTAAGGTGGGCCAGGGGTGTCGGTCTGGGTGTTGTTTTGTTGTGTAATAAATTAATTCAATTCAAGGCTGTGTAATTGGCTGGCTGATGCCATACGAACGTGGCTTGGTGGTGTTGTTGTTGTGGGTTTTTGTTTTCTTGGGAAGAGTTAGAGGGGGGAGGTAAATTGAGTTAGCAGGAAACTTTGTTGTCTGCCCTTGATGTCTGATGACGTCTCATGTTTTGAATGGAAGAAGCCTAAAAAAAATTTCTCGCATCTGTAGGAGTGCGCCAGTAACAGATTTTTTCTGACATTGTTTTTATAACATATACATTATATATAAAATGTATGTATATATATATGTATGTATGCATATATATATATATATATATGTCTTTTTATTGTAAATCTTGTGATTTTTTTAATGATCGTAGTTAGTCTAAGATAACCAAATAGACAATCAGCAACTACTGTAGAAGAAAGCCCACCCGTTTGATACACACAATCTGAAGCATATTGTAATTTTGTTCCTTATAGTTACGTTGTTTTCTTTTTATTTTGTTTTAAATGTGTTGAACTTACTTGTCCATTTACAGAAATTTTTTTTTTAAAGGTTTTTTTTTTCAAACTGCCTTCCCAGGCTAGAGTCATGTTTTCTATTCCATTTATGTCGTTGAACCTCTTGTCATATGTAGCAAAGATGTTATACACTGAAGACAGTATTAGGTAAACATGTTGCTAGGGTTTAGCAGTGGTGGGGTTATTTTTACTCTAGCTGAAGTAAATGAGGCGACCAATTATGTGTGAGTTACGTGTTGAGGGTTTTTTTTGTATGTACATAGTTGATCGTTTCTACTCGATGTTTTAACATGTCATCGCAGTCAATTAAACATTCACGTTAACACGCTGTGTTGCCTTGTTGGTTCCCGTGTTGTGTTGTGGTGGTGGATGTCGTAGCACGCCAGCGGTCCTCAAATAGTGATGTTAAAAGAACTTAAAAACCACAAAGACTGTCCTTAAATAGTGATGTTAAAAGAACTTAAAAACCACAGAGACTGTCCTTAAATAGTGATGTTAAAAGAACTTAAAAACCACATAGACTGTCCTTAAATGGTGATGTTAAAAGAACTTAAAAACCACATAGACTGTCCTTAAATGGTGATGTTAAAAGAACTTTAAAAACACAAAGACTGTCCTTAAATGGTGATGTTAAAAGAACTTAAAAACCACAAAGACTGTCCTTAAATGGTGATGTTAAAAGAACTTTAAAAACACAAAGACTGTCCTTAAATGGTGATGTTTAAAGAACTTTAAAAAATACAAAGACAGTCCTAAAATGTAGGAGTTTAACGAACCTAGAAAACACTTAGACAATTCTCAAATGTTGGTAATTAAAGAACCTAACAACTAAGACAATCCTCAAATTGTGATGATTAAATAACCTAATAACTAAGGCGGTCAGCAAATGTTATTGATTGAAGGACTTGGAAAAACTAAGTCGGTACTAACATTATGGTTTTTTTAAAGAATGGGGAATACATAAAGACAATCCTCAAATGTTCGTGATAAAGAAACAAGAAACCACTAAGAAGATCCTAACACATTGGTGATATAAGAAAGAAGACTAAGACGGTCCTCAAATAGTTTTTTAAAAGACAATCCTCAAATGTTCGTGATAAAGAAACAAGAAACCACTAAGAAGATCCTAACACATTGGTGATATAAGAAAGAAGACTAAGACGGTCCTCAAATAGTTTTTTAAAAGACAATCCTCAAATGTTCGTGATAAAGAAACAAGAAACCACTAAGAAGATCCTAACACATTGGTGATATAAGAAAGAAGACTAAGACGGTCCTCAAATAGTTTTTTAAAAGGCCTAGAAAACACTGAGAGGTTCCTCGTATGTTGGTACCAAAAGAGCGTGATGGAATTCTAGAACTTTCAAAATTTTAGCGTTTTCTGTATTTTTAGTTAGTTACCTATAATAATAAACCCAAATCTTTGAATTTTGAGTATAATATAGAAGACAGTGAGAAACGCTTGGGCTAATTGAATGTATAAAAGTAGTTTATTTTTTTTACTTTAAAGCACTAACTAGCCTACTACGAAAATTACTGGTTTAAGCGAAACTAAAATATAACTTGGTGCTTTGCCTCCGAATACTTTTTTACGACTGAGATTTTATATCTTTGGTTACCTGAATCCAACCTAAATAGCGTGTATCAGTGTATCAGTGTGTGTTTCAAACGAATCCAAATAACGGGTGTTTCTCACTTTTCCCGCGGCCTGACCCAACAGGTCCCCCCTCCCACGGAGAGGACAACAGGACAACCACTGCTAGGACAACAGGACACCTCGCGTCAACCCCGTCATTGGACACCGCAGTAAATTTAAAGCCAGCAACCCCCCGCAACCCAGGCCACAAAAGTATCATGGCGTCAAATAAACACCCCTCAAAGTCCCCCCGTGTTGTCTTTTCATTTCAGACCATAGCTAATGAGCAACAAGGCGAAGGGGCGAATTTCTTTTCGAGTCCCTGTACCCGTGTCTTTCTTTTGTTGACGCCGGCGTCGAATTTAACTCTTACCCCATTTCAACAAAAACCGCGGCGCCGCCCTTGGTGTTTTGGAGACTGTTGACCCCTGTCCCGTCGCCGGTCCCTGGGTTTCAGGTCCCAGTGGGGTCGTGTTAAGTTTATTTACAAACAATCAAACCCACCCGTGCTCGGTAACAATACAAATTGAATCTGCCGCGACATTTAGTGGGTAGAATGTAGGACGCCACAGAAGGTTCACTTTCAACAAATACGGTGTATTTATTTAGTCGAGAAGTATGAATTCTACCTCGTTGTGGAAACCTGTCCGAAATAAACTGTTATATTGTGTAAAGTAGAATAGTCCTGCTGTCGATCAACATTCTGCTTCAAGTGAACTTTTTCCGTTATTTTGGACCAAACGAAACGAATATAGATATTATGTATCCATTACAGCCATCATTACTTCATAACCTTGATTTAACTGTCATTCATATTTCCTTTGTGACCCCTGGGGGAGCAATGGGCTAGACTTGGTTATTGGATGCTCTCTTTGTCTGTGCTACAGTTAATTTTTTTATTTAACTGTAGCCCTAACCAAAGGCTAACTCTCTATTTTACAATGATAGGATGAGCTGGCAGTAGTAGGAATTAGACACGTGGTACCCTATAACGGAAAAGTTCACGTGCTAACCTTAAACATAAAAGAGATTGTGAGTAAATATAACAAGGGTGTTAATCTTAAACAAACGGGATTATGGTTTTAAAAAAAAAAAGTGTGTTAATCGTAAACACAAAAAGGATTAGGATTAAAACGGAGGAAGTGTGTTAATCGTAAACACAAACGGGATTAGGATTAAAAAGATGTGTTAAGTTTAACACAGAATGGATTATGATTACAAAGACTTAAGTTTCAATTATGGACACATCTGAATCTGATAAGAGGTTGGGGAGAGTGGCGTGTAGGCTACATGGTGGAGTGGCAGAAATGCTATGTTCTAACTGGCAAGTCCCGAGTTCGCACTGTCTCGAAATTGTAGTTATGTCATCTACACCGACACACCCGGCTTGGTTACTGAGTTCACGTCATCTTCGTTAAAGGGCGAATCTATTTTTACAGGCCTAGATTTTATGTATGGTACGGCATGGTCGGATGGTAGAGCATTCGAATGCTAACCTGAAAGTTGAGTTCGAATCCCGAGTTTGTGTCCAAAGAAGGTTCATGTTATCCTCCTTAGACTGAAAACAACGTGGGGCGGCATGGTTAAACGGTAGAGCATGCAAACGACTGCGAGACCACGTTGGAGTTTGTGTCCGTGTAGAAAGTCTCACCCTGAGCTCGATTAGCTCTGATGGGTACCTGTCACCAATGTTCCCTCTAAGGGGAAAACCTATATTTTGTGTGCGCGGTGTTCTAAAGGGATAAATGTATTTAACAAAAGGACTGCGCGGCAGTTAAAAACTACTACGCGGCCGCGCAACCGCGCAGCTTAGAGGGAACATAGCCTGTCACACGTTAGGGAAAGTAATGGCGACTGAGCATAGTGATGACAACACTATCCCTTCGTATGCCGAGGTCACAGAAACAGGTAAACTCTACTTCACCTGCCCGATGGGCCGTCAGGTTCGAAAGGTTACTTTTCTACTGGATGTTATGTAAATTAATTTACGTCCATTCACCTTCCATTTGACTTAATCGTCTGTCACACTCAATAAATACATCAACAGGGGGTTGGGACGACAAATTGTTACGGCGAGAGGGGAAGGGGGGTGGGGTGGGGCAAGAAACTGTGCCTTAGTACATATTTTGTATTGTGCTTAAACTTTAAGTTAAAGAAAAAAGATGATGAAAATTTATTTTCTATTTCGTTTTGGGGAAAGGAATGGCATTTTATGTTATGTGGGGTGGGAGAGGAGTGAAAAAAAAAGATCTAATGTTGACACTATAATCATCATTTATATCTCAGTTAATATTGTGATTAAACGAAATGTCAAAATTGTATCAAATATTCATTTTTCTTCGTTTTCTTTTTTCCACAGCCTGTTAATTCCTTAAAACACCAAGTTATAATGAAATAAATAATTAAAAATAAAAAAAAAGACGGGAGATTTTTTTTCCCATAACAAATTGTACATTGATGGCAAGTCAGGACTCGGCTCTCTAACGAATTAACGAACCGCGAACTGCAGGACACGGTCAATTAATTAATATTCGCCGCTAATTAGATAGGTCATCGCGCATGAGTCCTGCTTCATCTCATCCCATATGGAACTCATTTCATCTGGGTGGTCAGTTGTTGACCTCCGTGGTACGGTGGCTGCCCGTGCACTCGGCTGTAACGACGTCTCAATCTGATACACACAAAGACAAGGGTTCCCAGAAAACCGCGCAACGGAAAAATGCGCTAACAGAAAAATGCGCAAATACAAACTAAATTATTATACTAATACACTTAAATTTCGTCTTATTTCGAGTTAATATGTTTAAATATGCTACAATGTTCATATAGTCACTCTTTGTTAATGTCTATAAATGCTCGATTTAAGAAAACAAAATTGCTCTTGCGGACTTTTTTGTGCTCAACTTTCCGGTCACTAAACAAAAAAGTGGGGGGAGAGGGGGGAATTATTACATTATGTTAGCATTTAGAAGAAAATATTTGAGTGTGATACAAGTTGAATGAAAATTTATAAAATTTCAGTTTTACAATAAAATATGAGATTTGGCAATGCTTGCTAGCTATTAGCTAACAGTGTAGACTTAGTTGTTGCTGCTTTTAGCGATCATTTAAACAGTTACAGGTTAGGGTTAAATCGGAGTTAGGAACAATGCTAATTGGGTGTGTTACGTAACCTTTTTAAAATGTTGTCAGCGACTTTAAGGTCTAAGCTATAATGCGTGGGCACGGAAACTTGAATAATTCTTGCTATTTTCAACTTAACAAAAATAATGTCAGGGTTTTGGTATAATTTTTTTTTCTACTGCATACTTTATTAATATAATAGGTAAACTCTACTACATCTGCAACATATCGTGTTTGTAGTGTCTTCTCCATAAAACAGGTGTGATTTTTAGACCTACAACGTGATATTTTAGTCTTTAAAAAAAAAGCCTAACAATTATTTTAAAGTAATAAATTTGTTTAGACATACAGATACTTATTTTGGACGCGATAGTCTTTAAAAGAAACTAACACACATATTAAAGTAATTTGTGTAGACATACAGATAGCTATATTTTAGTCTTTACAAAGAAGCTAACAAACAATTTAAAATTGAAGTGTTTAAACCTACAGATATTTATTTTTGACACGATATTTTACTCTGAGAAAACGCTTTACAAATATTTTAAAGAGCTTTGTGTAGACATATAG